TTAACCGTTTTTTTTGTGCTCGGTATGATAGAAGAAATGTACACTGTCAACTACAGGATCGTTCAATCAGGACTCAAAGGGCTCTATATAATATATCACGCAACCCAGTTCGATGATGATTTGTGGTTTTTGCCCAAACAAAAAAAAATTAAAAATAACTCGAAGACAAAAAATTCCTCCCCATTTTCACTTGTCGGAACAATAACATATTAACGAGTGAAAAGTTATGCTCGAGTGACCGCTTTTCAAGAGTTATTGAACTAAATGTTTTTTTTGCTGGAAAAATTCCGGAATTTTGTTGACGCTCAAATTTGATTTCTTTGCGACTTCCTTTTTGATTTTTTTTGGTTCAATTCAAGGTCATTTGCTAATAGGGAGGCAATTTTTCTCCAATATCAAAAGGGCACTAAAAACGAAATTGATTTTTAGTTTCAAAAATGGATTTTAGTTTTCAGCAGAATGAGTGGGTTAGTTGTATAAAAAACTGTGTCAAGCATGAAAGAATGTGATTTTTTTTGTTTCATTATGGACATATTGACTCTTATGCAATTATTTTTAGTTGTTTGTCTTTCTGTTGATTGAATTGTCCGACATTTTGTTAATTTTTGTGCAGTTGTTTTTCTTCCGAGCATATTTTGGTATTTTCTTGCATTTTATTTTTTTGCCAAGCTTAAAACTTACGTATGTTTTTCGCTTGGTTTTTTGAGTACAGCTTCGCATCTGTCAAATTTTTGTATGCATCTTGAGTATGATAAGCATGAAATTCACATGCGGCTAAGTTGAGGTTGTTTTAAAAAAATCAACAATGACTGGAAGGATACAATTTGCCATGAGTTTTCGTGGAAAGATGAAAGCTGAATTTAGTTCATCCCATTTTCTTTTGTAGGCTCCTAGCGTATAATGGCCTCTTTGTAATATAGGTTGTAAGGGTCATTAATGGACTGCTTAAGAAATCAGCAGTGCCCATGAAAAGATACTAATTTTTCCTCGCGAGTTTGATTATCATGATTTAATGAGTACAAATGTTATAATTTAGTGTTAGTGAAGGGAGTGATTTATCATTATTTACGTCTAGTTTTTTTCAAAAAAAAACTTCGAGCTGAGTTTTATTCTTGGTTTTTCACGCGTTGCTCTTTGAATTTTCAATTGCAATACAGTACGACCTCAAATTAAAAATGGGCTGAAAAAAGTGAATGACTTCATTTCAAAAATGTAATTTTAGTATTAGAATTATCAGCGGAATAAAAAAACAACCTATTGAACCACTTCTTTTATTTGTTATTGTCTGAAAATTCAAATCGGTACGCAATGAAAGATTCTTGATATTCAACGCGTTTCAGTGCGATAATTTTTTCCCTGGAAATGGAAGTTGGAAAAATGTTCAAAATTAGTGGATCATTTTTCGAATTAATTTTGAACTCATTGTCAAATTTCCAGCTGTCTGTTGGTTATTTTTAATTTTGAACTTTTTGGTTTTCGAAAAAAGTATCTAGTCTTAAACTAAGATCTGGTATAAGAAAAAATTTCGATCCTTTTGTCTTTGCTTAACAAACTTTGGACGTTGAATTTTCGGCAACGTATTAAGATTTCTCTTACTTTTTCTTTTTTCGCATTTTTATTTGAAGTTTTGCTGTGCTTTGGATCAACTATTTAATTAAATTTTATTTTTTATTGTGTTTTGGTTTGTTATTGCGCTTTAGTTGTTATGCAAAAATCAGGTTCGGGGATTTTCCATGAATCATAGTTTTTTTTTCTAATTTCAAGAAATAGTTTCTTTTATAGTTTCTTCTTTCAACTTAAGTTGTTTCTTTTCATATAAATCATTTGTTCTCGTGTTATCTGCGTTTCGAATGATTTAGCAAGATTGTTAGATCTTTTTCGTATCATTCATACTTGTGTTCCGACCGCTCACGGAGTGGTAAGGAATTATGGTTTAGGGTGCATTTTGGTCCTCTTGATATTAGGAAGCTCATAGAAAATTCTTAGATCTAGTTCCCTTGTACGATAGTGAATCACTTCCAGTCGTAATTTTTTCTTAATGTCGAAAACAAATTGGTCTGATTTTTTTTTGCATATCAAAAACATAATTAATTAGTTATTAGGTTGTGAAAAGCTATATGGTCCGCGTATCGGATGCAGATTTTATTCAAATTCAAAGAAAACGCTAAAAGAAAATTCAGACCAAGGTTTTTTTATTTTTATCTTTTTTTTGTAAAAACTAGTCCTAAGGTTTAGGGCTATGTGATGAGAGACCGATTTTTTTTGATACTTTTTAGATATGAGCGTATTTTACAGATTTTCCTAATTGTTCCCGCTTTTCTGATTTTTTTTCTGTATTCAATTTGCAGCTGCAGCGAACACGTGTTAGATCATAATCTCCGCACGCTAATCGTTTCGCATATGCTTCTTCACTTTATCGTAAGATCTGATTTGCATTGCATATAGACACTCGATATAGAACAAACTCCTCTGTATAAGAACGCTACGTCCAATTAATCGTTCTGTTTTGGAGGGAGTGGTGGTGAAGTGGTTAAGTCTCCGCCTCCTAATCGAAAGGTCGGATGCTCGAAGCCCGCCATGAACCGTGCTCGTTGCTTGAGGGTGAGGTAACATTACCCAATCCAGAAAATGACCAAAAAATTGCATGTAATTCTTAAGCAGGGGCAAAACCTCATTGGTCCATTTTTCTCATACTGGGTGAGGTTAATCATGTAGAAAAAGTATCAATCATCTAAGCTTATACAAATTCGACATGCTTTGCTGTATGAAACCAGTTTTTTGGACCTTTTGCATTTTCGAGCTGTCTTGTTTTTATTAACACTAAACCAAGTGAACTTTTACTGATTTAATTCGTGTTTTTGAATTTCTTATGATTTGGTTGTTCCACTTTTGAAGAATATCTGTTCTGATTTTCGTTTAAAACGAATAAAAATTTTTGATTTTTAAGTCTTCAGTTTCTGGAACTTTCCGACAGTCGCTTTTTTCAAATGAGTTTATGTGAAAGTGAAAATGATCCATTAATCTATTTCTTACAATTGGGTTTGTCTCAGTGTTTTCTAAATGAATTTTCATTTTCGAAAACGGATGTGATCTTAATTAATTCAAAATTAATTTAGTTAAATAAAGTTTAAATAAGACACGTGACAATTTAAAAAGTTTCACGAAAGCTTAAGCACAATGGAATTTCATTAAAAGACAGCTGAAATTTAAAATTTGTTCATTTAAATTAAGTAAGTGACCAATTTTAAAGTTTCACGAAAGCTTGAATACGATTGAGTTTCATCGAAGGTTAGCAGAAATTGAAAATGAATTCAAAATTGAGTTATTTAAGTTAGGTCGGTAAATTAACGTTTTAAAAGTTTCACGAAAGGCTGAGTTTAATCCAAAAATGAGTTTGAATCCAAAAATGAGTTTAAAATTGGGTTGATGGAAAATAGCAGAGGATGAAAAAAGTTTCATTTATAATTTATCTTTAGTCGCTTCGTTCGGTTTCAAAATTTCTTTCCGGAGTGCGAATTTTTTTTCGATTCTTGCACAAAATTTGTTGAAATAATTTTTCCCAAATATTCAGGTATTATAGATTATGTAATATAGTTTTTCGCTGATATTTTTGGGGTGAATTTTTGTGATTTGATTTTCCTGTATGTTCGCACAGTTTTCTCTTTTTGTTGGGATCACTGGAGTAGGACGTTTTTTTTTCCGGTCCAAGCTTAGGTAGTTCATGAAAAAAAACGAAGAGGATCAAGTGTGGTGTCATATTCAAGTGCTATATTCAAAAAGTCCGTGTCCAAAAAAATGCTCTCACATTTTACCGTTTTTCAGACTAAAGACGAAATGTTTTAAGGACAGGCTGATGGAGACTGTAGTGTCAATGCGATTTATAGATATCGGTCTTTTTTTGCAATTTATACATCATCTTAGCTATTCGTACATCTTATTTTACATTGTTTTTTGAAAAAAATTTAACTATTTTTTCATCTTTTTGGATTTTATTTCAATCATTGTAGTCGGAACGTTATGTGCCACTTGCACAGCAATCAGCTAATCTTGTTATTGTTTTCGTTTTTGTCTCTACATTTGCCTTTTTGCTATTTTTGCTAGTAAAATAGTTTCACAAGTTGTTGCAGTGATGTTTTTTGTTATAAAGGAAATTTTGTTCCACAAGTCAGAATACGTTGCAATGATTCTTAAAGTGATTTTTTGTATTTCTCAAACATTGGTGATTTCAAATTAGCTCGGAAGCAATCTGAAATGATCACTTAAGGTCTCCAATTGATCGTATTTCATTTTTGCAAGGCAAGCTATTTTGAAATAACTAAAACCTTAAATAATTAACCTCCGTGACAACCTGCTTAACTATAGAGATCGAAGTTTAGTAGATGGCGAAAGGTTTGAAAACAAAGTTATGGATAAAGCTGAAAACAAAAACTGAATGACGAAGCTCGATAAAACAAACTTCTTATTCAGCACCTCGTGAATTGGAAATTTGCTTACAATGGGACTAGCTCAAGAGTTTTTTCCAGAGTCCGCCCCCCTCTGGACCATCTTGACACATCATTTTGTAAAAACTTGTACCGTTGTGATTTTTTAATTTTTCTGAATGATTGCGTTTCGCTATGTTGCAAATCATGTAAAGCTGTCTCGGTACCACAATTTTTGTAGGTGCTTCAACTTGCAGTGGAGTGAACGAAAGTATCGATTTCGCCTGTCTGAAAGTTTTTTTTCACTAGTAAGTACTAGCTGTTTTAGACAGTTATTCGACTAGAAAGATTTGCGGAGTTTTAGATCTTCCCATGTAATCATGTTAAATATATGTAATGAACTAGACTAAACAAAACAGTTTGACACCAAATGTGGTTTTAAAGTTTTCGGCACTGTTATGTGTTTTATTAATTTTTTCATTGTGTAGAATAAAAGTTCTATCTATTTTTTCAGCAACTGTGACGCATGGTGGCTTAAACTAATGAAATGTATGCGTATATAGCCAGGACCGAGAGCTGAATGATTTCAGCTCTATGCCAAAATTCATTAATGCCGTCCACCTACTCCTAATAATGTCTCCTTAAATTTGAATGGTATTGACATTTTTTAAAACCAGTTTGGAAATTTCATTGCATTTATACTCAAAAAATTCCATTTCTCTGGAAATAATTAACTTGATTGAGTTAAACGAAGCACAATATGCATTCATCGCCATACAGCTCTCACTTGATGTTGTATGTTACAGTGTATTGACTAAATGCTTTTTGTTTATTTAAACGCTATTTTTTTGTTTGTGTTCCCTTTTTAAACCAAGTTATTTGAGACGAATTACTAGCTTAGCAAATGCTTCAGTTTGTGATAGAATAAACAGTATGTTACAATTTTTGGTCTAATTCCGATCACAAATGAGCCTCCACTCTATTACTAATTCAGGAGATTTTGCTATCTTAATGGGACTTATTGCTATTTAAGATTAACTTTCCCGCCCTAAAAATCAGTTAGATATCGATCAGTGGCCGATTCGGTGTCTCCCAATTCTACATTGCTAAGACACTTGTGTCAAGTCCATTTCTATGTGCTTCCAGCATTTTTGATCGTTTCTCATTTTTAAAATTTCGGTTGCGACCCATTTTTATTTCGCACTATTTGTTTAGCTGGTCAAGAGTTAATCAGATAAAAGTTACAATGGTCCGTCCCCATACAACATAACATAAAGTTGATATCCAGTTCGACATAACTTCTTTAAAGACAAGTGTTAGGCCACCATTAAGCATTAGCATTTAACCAGTTGCCGGGCTAAATAAAAACCCACAATCAAACCCCGGCTGACTTCTTATCCCAGTGGCCCGGCGGAGCAACAGAGAGAAAGAGCTTAGTGCACTTTACTTTTATTGTCTTCTTGTCTACGGGTCTATTGACTGCTAGGTGACTGCTGTATATGTTTCTTGTAGTGTTGGGGGGTTATGTTGTGTTCCTATTTGTCAACAGCAGACGTCCCGGGTCGGGTGAAGATTGAATGAATGTTTGATAGAATTTAAAGGGGCTTTGAGATATCTGTTCAAGCACGTTGGGGTGTCTAGGGAATATCGCCTCCCTCGTTCTCTTCTCATTTAGGACCGACTGAACGCTGTAATTTGTTCTGGAAACAGTTTTGGACATTTTGTTTGCATAAATTGTAAGTAATCAGCAAGAGGGTAATCAAGTTTCGCCCAGACCCTTAAAGCCCCTTGGGCGAAAAAGAGAAAAGTGTGCTCAAAACAGTCAAATAACAGAACACCACCGAAGCAAAAATCATACGGCTCAACAGTCTTACTACGCTTCAGGCAATTTCACGCTTGATCTGAACGCTTGTTCATAATATCTGTCCTCCTGCTGTGTGTATTATACCATTTTAAGTCCCCCTCCCCTACGCGCTCGAGAACAAAACCAAAATCAGTTATCTATATTTCCCAACTTTTGAATTTCACGCCATACAATATCTTGTTGAATATCAGGAACTTCGCGCCTGCAAAGCGCTTTCTTTCTAAGCAACTTCTGAAAATATCCGATCTGAATTTCCAAGATCACGTCCACAGATTATTGCCTCCACTTATTACATTTAACCCAGTTCAATAGTTAGCGGGAGTTTTGTGCGTATTACCCAAATTTGTACCAATTTGAAAACAAGTGAACCTTGTTATTCATTTGCTACTTTGAGCCAGATTTCGCACGTTAAAAACCGCCTGTTTGTTGTTATCGTCTTAATTCCAAACTTGGTCAATCAGCTCTGGACTTTATTTAGTTAAGATCCGTGTGTTAATTATTTGACTGCTCCTGAAGACAGTCCGGAGGAAAAGTGTCAAAAGTTGGACTCTTCATTCAAAATTCTGTATATTCTCAAAAGTCGCGAAATTTATATGAATTACTTTACACTTTTACTTAAAATCTCTTCTTACCGGAGACTGCTGTAATTAACAAGTCTGGTAGATTTTGTGTCTAAAATAAGAATCGGCGGCGAAAAAAGTCCTCACGGTTTTGTGTGGCCTCACTCTAAGGTGATATTATACTGTGCCGGTAACTGTGATGGAAAATTAGAGTTTTGGCATCTTGTCCCGTTGGTCCAAATTAATTTAACTGGACGCAGTTTTCAAATTTGCAATAATGTGCATCGGCTCTTTTTTTGCTCTAGAAAAAAAAAATAGAATATTTTCCATATTCAGTTTACAGCATCATAAATAAAACTTCAGCCACTGCTAGCTATACGTGCGTGCATATCTAATTAAGGATGAAACGACATCTACGTACTGGTGCAGTTCAGTTATAACTCATAACTAGGAACTGCTAATAACTAATTTCTATTCTCACCCAAGTCTCAAGACGCAAATTTTACTCCCTCCCCGAATATTTTTAAATGTGCTTTCCATTTGTGACTTTTGGACCCTAGTGATGTGTATGTATTAGGAAACTAAACTCGAGACATCGATAGATAGTTGCGACATTCCAGCCAGTACTCTTTGCCTTCCTTTTATCCAGTTAGGAGTTTTGCTCATTATCACACTTTGCACTTTTTACTTTTATCTTCATTCTACATTATTACAACAAATACAGCTATCTTCTCTCTTGTACGAGAACGTAGTAGAGAAAGTTTATTACTTTCCCTAATTTCTAGATCTAACTCAAGTAGACCGCGAACAAGTGTAAAAGACATACCAACTACTCATTAGGAGTAGCGGAATATACCAGCTAGCAACCCTGAAAACATATTACCATTTCATCACCCCTGCGGTACTTCCCCCAACATCTGAATATTAAAGCATCTTTAATTTATCACCAGTGTGTTTATATTACTTAGTTTACTCTACTTTATTGGAGCGAACTTTATCTGCAATGGAGTCTGGTAATAGCATCCAGCATTATTCTCCATCACATTATGTGTCCACCAACCCCCCAGACGGTGCGGCGCACCCTCCGTTGCGCCAAGCTATTTCAGCCCCCCAGACCCCAGTTTTTGCCGAGTACTTCGTGATGCCGAAAGATGCTGGCAACAATCCGCCGCTACATTCTGCCAACAGTATGGCGAATGGGGGAATACATAACCCGAATGCCCAATCTTATCAAGTAACAAACTTGCCGTCGAACAATTTCCAAATGCAAACGCGACCTTTAATTTATCAACCTGCAAGTGCACCTGGGCTTTTGTATCAGCAGCAGCCAGTGTTAAGCCCATCTCCGGATCAGCCGGATGACAGTGGGCTGTGTGGGTTTTTGAATTTTGGGTTCTCGAAGTCTTTCGAGAATCTGGCTTATGGCGACCAGGAAAATGGAGATAGTCCCGGTGGGGAGAATCACAGTTTCAGAGTTTTTGCCGAGGAAACAACAATGCATGGAATAAAGTGAGGGGTTCAGTTTTAGTTTCAAAAATGTTATGTAATGCAAAAAGCTGGATAGGTTTATGGGTTGTAAATGTACAGATACAGACAGAGAAAAGCTGAGTTAATTAGCAGTTATGTCGAGTTAAAAAGGTAAACCTTTTTTAACCAATTTGTTAAACCAATTGTTAAACAAATGGTTATATAGGTCATCATTGGTAATTAATAAGGTATTAATAGTTTAAAGAAGAACGAAAAAACAAAAAAAGCACATTTGGAAATCAAATTATGAAAGACCATCAAAACTTGGAAGCAATTACTAATGAAACATAAAATATTGTTACATTAACTTATACCTAGGGCTTACTTATTTCAAAAATCAAAAAACGACGTAAACTATTCTGGAACACAAAGCTTTTCAAACTGATTAATCTTGAAATAGAATTTTTTTTTTAATTTGATAACGACTCACGATTTTAGTTAAAGGTGCCTAAAAGCATATAGAGAAAATACCCTCTAGGCTACAGTTCATTCTTACTCAGTGAGACTGGTTGAGCTACACAAATATGCTTTGAGAGAACTTTAACAAGAAACTTAAGCTTCGGTAAGATTGGGGTTGAATCTTTCATTCAGGCTAAATCTATTTTCAATAAACAAAGACAGAAACGCCCTCAAGTTTTCTAGCTTCAAGTTTTCTTGTCACTAAGAATTGAAAGTCCTAAAGGAATACTAACCTCCATTATTTAGAAATACTAATGTTGGCCTGTTGGTCTAAGCTTGATAGTAGGTCTTTTTGTTGTCTTATATCTTTTGATGCATGATGCCAACTAAATTTTCCTATTTTAGTGTAAGCGGGTATCTTTTAACTAATTTCGTGAACTGAAAAAAAAAAGCTTACAATATGAGAAAACTTATGTCCGTTCTATGGTTAAACATTTTGAGGCTCGTTTCGTTTCTTAGATCAAGATTTAACTTATGAAACCGATAAAGGACTTAAGCAGAGCAGCCCTGTTGTTAGCTGATTGTTGTTCCGATCATATGCAAAATGTGGAGGAACTTTGCATTCGGTTGCGTTTTAGTTTCGTTAAGATTGGAGTTGAATCCTTCATTCAAACTAAATCTTTTTTCAATAAACAAAGCCAGAAACGCCCTCGTGTTTTCTAGCTTCTAGTGTTCTTGTCACTAAGAATTGAAAGTCCTAAAGGAATAATAACTTCCATTATTTAGAAATACTAGTGTTGGCCTGTTGGTCTTATCTTGATAGTAGATCTTTTTGTTGTCTTATATCTTTTGATGCATGAAGCCAATTAAGTTTTGCTAATTTAATGTGAGCGGGTATCTTTTAACCAATTTCGCGAACTGAAAAAAAAAACGCTTCCAATGTGAGAAAACGTATGTCCGTGCTAAGGTTAAACGTTTTGAGGGACTTTTCCTTTCTTCGATCAAGATTTAACTTATGAAACCCATAAAGGACTTAAGCAGAGCGGTCCTGTTGTTAGCTGATTGTTGTTCCGGCCATTTGAAAAATGTGGAGGAACTTTGTATTCGGGTGCGTTTTAGTTTTTTCTTTTTTGTTTTTCACGCAAAATCAGCTACCACAAATAATCATCGGAATGGGTCGAGTGATATGTCATATCAAAGCTCTTTCAGATTCCACATTGAAAAAAAATCTCAGAGTCGAGAAAAAACTGATTTGAATTTTTTGATTTTTGGTCTAAATTTGAATTAAAAAAATGAGTGTGCAGGCTTACAGTAGCTTATTGAAGCCGTAAAAACTCAGTTTTACTGGATTAAAGTTAGTTTTTTGAGTTATTTAGCACAACTTTGGGAATCAAAAACTTCGAAAGTTCCAAAAGTTTCTGCGAAAAGAAATTAGAAAACGTTTTTTGAAATTTTTGTTACGATTTTTTTGTTTGTTTTTTTTACATATAGGCCTGTTCGACTGTGACTGTCGCATTTGCCTAATTTCTTTTTTTATGTTCAGATTATTTCATCACAACACGCAGAAAAAATGACACCAATTGAAAACAAAATTGTTGTTTTTTAAGACCAAGGTTGGAACCATAGTGCATATGGATTAGCTCAAATTGTGCGCTGTAATTTCACTTTTTGTCATTGAGTTAACCATTTTAAGTTTTTTGCAATTTGATCGTCCTTTCATCGTTTTTGTTCGGGCGATTTAGTTCAAAAATTTTTTTATTGCAAACAACGCATTGAACTTATATGAAGCATAAAAATGCAGACATCAGTATTGGTTAGGTAATAAAATTTCTCGAGTTGTTTTTTTTAAACCTGTGAGAAAATTTTTGGCTTCCTGACTTTCTGCTTTAACTTAAGACTTGATTGACAAATTTTTTAAATAGAAAATTTGTGCATTACGAATCAGAACGTGAACTTTTTGAGTTTTTTTGTTTTATTTTAATTAAACAAATTTTGCAAATCTGTTTCATCCTGAAAAACCAGCCCTTCTTTAGCTTCAGGGCATTTGGTCCGCTTTTAAACTTAGTCGACGTTTTTTTCTATAACCGACCTGTCAGAAAGCACGGATTAATAATATGAAAAAAAAACAGATTTTTTGGAGAGTTTCTACGACACTCCACTGAAGCATGAGACAGTTCCCGTTGAATTTTTACAAAACTTGAAAACTGATAAAAAATCAATACCTGGCAAGTTTATCGGGATTTGAAATTTTCGAAAGTAACAAGAATAGTTAATATACAACTTTGTTTGAATAAATTGATAAATCCATAAATTGATCAAAAAAAATCCAGACAAATCAGGAAATCAATTACGTCAAATAGTCATCAGAATGGGTAATAATATTGAAGACCTTTTAGTGTCACAATTTGAACTAATTAGTAATGTAAAAAAAACCGGTCTGAAAGTTTCGGTTGTCAGTCTCATTTCGAGTGAATGAAGTGGCGAGCAAGTCTATAATAGAGCGATGAGTTTTATTCAAGCCGCGAAAAGATTTTTTTTTAATTCAGTGAAAATTATTGTTTTTTTGAGTTTCTTCTAGCGGCTTTCTTGTAGTTTTCTTTTTTGAGGAATTTCTTTTTAAATTTTTATATTCTTTTTTGTAGCAGAGAAAGTTAAATTAAAAATACTATAAAAAGTTTTTAATATAATTTTTTTTCATTTTGTGGTGGGAAGTTTCCCTGCTACATGCTCAGCAATCGACTGTCTTTGTTTTCAATTATATTTTTGGATTTTACGATTTTGATTTATAGTGCACATGGATCAGATCAAATTGTGCGCTGTAATAAATAGGTGGCAATTTTTTCTTTTCACGGCGAGTTTTTTTCAAGCCGTGAAAAGATTTTGTTTAATCCAATGAAAATTATTATTTTTTAAAGTTTCTTCTAGTGGCTTTTTTGTAGTTTTTTATGCGGAATTTTGTTTTAGAATTTTGTATTCATTTTTTAGCAGAGAAGTTCCGACCACCAAATTCAAAAAAATTATAAAAGTTTCTTTTTATATTTATATTTTTTAATTTTGGTGTCAGAACTTTATCCTCTGCATGCCCAGCAACCAACAGTTTTTGTTTTCTTTTGTTTGTAATTTTTAAGATCTTGATTTATAGAGCACATGGATCTGGCTTAATTGTCTACAAAGCGTATAATACGCACATGTAAGAGCTCTATTGATTTATTCAAACTATTGAGCTTATTTTTTCGCATTTGAATGATAACAGAATTCTACAAATTTTTCGGTTTAGTTGCTTTTTGTTGTTAAAATTAGCGTGAATGGCTGTCTATAGGGCTATAAATTTTCACAAAAATACCGCAAATTTTACTCGGCTAATTTTAATTATTTATCCTTTAAGATTTTATCAGCCTACATATTTCTTGATGAAACATTTCTTGAGCCAACGTATTATAATGCTTACAGGGTTTATAAATGAATTGTTTCCCCAAATAATGAATGAATGAATTTGTTCGCTAATTTTGTTTGAAGTTTCTCCCATGGAAATTAGTCAGAATTACAAATGAAGTTAACTGGCTTAAATATCACTTGTTTTTTTTGTCTAAATATTGCGGGGTAAGATCTAAGACATGGATTTTCGTTGTTTTCGGGAGATGAAAACAACAAATTATGATCGATAAAACTTTGGTTTGAAAAAAGATCCTATGCTCAAATGCCTCAATGTTCACTATCAAGATGTTTGTATTGTTTCGTACGGATTATCACGTTTTTTTGATCGGCTCATTAATCGGCTAATTTTAATTATTTATCCTTTAAGATTTTATCAGCTTACATGTTTCTTGATGAAACATTTCTTGAGCCGACCTATTATAATGCTTACAGGGTTTATAAATGAATTGTTTCCCCAAATAAGGAATGAATGATTTTTTTTCGCTAATTTGTTTGAAGCTTCTCCCATGGAAATTAGTCAGAATTACAAATGAAGTTAACTGGCTTAAATATCACTTGTTTTTTTTTGTCTAAATATGGCGCGGTAAGATCTAAGGCATGGATTTTTGTTGTTTTCAGAAGATGAAAACAACAAATTATGATCGAGAAAATTTTGGCTTGAAATAAGATGTTATGCACAAATGCCTCACTGTTTACTATCTAAATGTTTGTATTTTTCGTACGGAATATCACGTCTTTTTAATCTGCTAATTTTAATTATTTATCCTTTAAGATTTTATCAGCTTACGTGTTTCTTGATGAAACATTTCTTGAGCCGACCTATTATAATGCTTACAGGGTTTATAAATGAATTGTTTCCCCAAATAAGGAATGAATGATTTTTTTTCGCTAATTTGTTTGAAGCTTCTCCCATGGAAATTAGTCAGAATTACAAATGAAGTTAACTGGCTTAAATATCACTTGTTTTTTTTTGTCTAAATATGGCGCGGTAAGATCTAAGGCATGGTTTTTTGTTGTTTTCAGAAGATGAAAACAACAAATTATGATCGATAAAACTTTGGTTTGAAAAAAGATCTTATGCTCAAATGCCTCAATGTTCACTATCAAGATGTTTGTATTATTTCGTACGGATTATCACGTCATTTTAA